GAAGGGAGGCGTCAGCAGTAGCCTGTTTTCGCTTATCTGCCCTGCTGTATGCAGCAAGTAAGGCGACCCGGCTGATGGCACCACGCGACGGCCGATGTGGCATGAGTTTATTTGTGTATGTGCAATTCATGGTTTTAGGTGGGCTGGGATACTGCCAGGGCGCCCACACGTAGACAGGAGGACGATTAGGGTCCTCAACCAAAGCCTTTGGCTCAAAACCTAACCGCACGGTAAGGTCCAGTCTCTTCGTGACAGGCAGATGCACCACATCCATACATGATACCATACATGGGACTCAAGCGGGTTTCCCAGTTGTTCCATACCAGCTGAGTACTGATTCGGACGCGCGAATAACCTGGGTATGAAGACAAGTGTGTCGCCGCTTCCGATTTGGTTTTATTTTCCAAGTCGTACGGCAGTGTACGACACCTATCAGCTTGGTTGATTTTTGTGTAGGTATTGGTGATGGCTTCCTGCTTATAGGGCTTCAATCCATGAAATCTACTCCTCTCTTCTATCCACAGAATTTGTCGTGAACTCTCGTCTTCGGTGAATCCAATGGTGCTTCCATAATGCGTCCCTCTCTGTTAGTATGGCTACCACCCATTTGTGGCTCTGTCACAAAGTACTGGGATCCACATTTGTACATGTGATCTTTGGATCCAACACGACCATACAACCACAGGCGTAGTAGCCTGTGTACACAAGTCTCACAGCCTGACGTATCACACCACTAGCTCTAGCCGATTCACGCAGGACATAGGACGAAGTTCTTCGAAAAGAGGGCCGTTGTAATCTTGGGTAGGGCCTCGTATACTGGGCTTAGGTTCATGTGTTTCCCCTCTTTTCATCCCACAGAATTCATGAACTGCTGCTTTTAGGGAAAACTATCCCACGGCGCCTCTACACTTTGCATACTGTAGTGTAATGTTCGCTATACCTCCCCGTACACGAGTGTTTTGGAGAGGACCGGTATGTTTCAATAATAAACTGCCATACTTTTGTTAGCTCTGTCGTCGTTATATTCGCCCCATCAATCCGGAATGGTCAGACCTTGCTAAAAAGCAACTGAAGGGCAAAGACCCAGAAGTTCTTGTACACGAGAACTATGAGGTGAGGTTTACCAGCCACTAATGCATTATTACGTGTTAGGGGATAAGTTACAAACCTGTCTACACATCAGAAGATACAGAAGGCTTGCGTATTGAACTTCCAGGAAAGTTTCCTTTCACTCGTGGACCCTACCCTACCATGTATACACAGAAGCCTTGGACAATTAGACAGGTAAGTTGCTATAATTAAGCTCTTGAACCATTAGTATGCTGGATTTTCCACAGTCGAAGAGAGCAACAAATTCTACCGCGATAACATCAAGGCTGGAGTCCAAGGGTTGAGTGTTGCGTTCGATCTCGCCACTCACCGCGGTACGTCTAAATTTTCTAATCTAGTCACTTCTTTAGGGTATGATTCAGATAACCCACGAGTTCATGGCGATGTCGGTATGGCTGGCGTTGCAATCGATAGTGTAAACGATATGGCTCGTCTGTTTGATCAAATTCCTTTGAAAAATATCAGCACTTCAATGACTATGAATGGAGCCGTGCTACCAATTTTGGCAATGTTTATTGTGGCTGCCGAAGAACAGGTGGGTCTTATTAGCATTCCTTTTTTATTCATCCATACTGTGTTGGAAGCCCATAGGACTCGTCAACTGAAATTCCACTCGCGACCGCTACTTCTTCCTGTTTGTCAAAATTGTTGGTTCGCACTTCGAACTCTGGCCGCAGCTACCTATCTCTCGTTCAGCTTTAACCATCGCGGCGTCTAGTTGTAATGCCACCCAAAGAAATCACGATGGCTCGATACTGCCGGGTTGTCCAAGCCTAGACAGGAGCAGTCGAGGTACATCACTACTACGTTTAAAAGACGGTGGTGACGAGTGATCTGAGGCTGATACTTTGTGTCGATTAAGGTTCGTCACTTCTTTTCTAACCTCTGATTCTCGTGATGGGGATCCAGTTCTACAGCCTAAGGATGGAGGGTGAATGCACTTGGTGTTTCGGAGATTCCTGGAGGCTAATTGAACTGGGCCTTAAATTACTCAGCCCATCGCTCTAGGCGTCTCCGTAGGTTGTATGTTGGTTCACATACAGTATCGATGGCATTTTCCGCCCGGTACCTGTGATATGTTGGTTCACATACAGTATCGATGGCAGTATCGATGGCATATCGATGACTGACGATAAGTTGACTGGGGGATGCGCGGTCATATTTGACGCACCAACAAATCTGCTGTACATCATTACATCATGAGCAACCAGTGTCCTCTTCGACCGCAAGTTCATATGTGATCCTTCTGTATCCTGCAGATCGGCTTTCGGAAACCAATTGCGCCATATCAGTTGCCAGACTAGTTGTCCCCACTTTTTGTGACCCTGAAACACGAATAAAGTCTGGACGAGTGCATTTTCAGAATTCGCATAAGCGCTCCAAATGGAGTGACCCACACCTTTTGTAAGGGATGTCGATACGATTAATTCGTGTCGATGGCTGATGCGTTGCTGGAGGTCATGATGTAGCCAGACGATTTTCGTTATTCCAGAAGTTAGCACTGCATGAAGTCACTCTGCGGTTAGCACACACCCGATCTAAAGCTGCCAGCTTGCGTTGTTGTTCGGGCTTGAGTGCGGCAATGATTCCGTGGGCTACGCTGGCTGGAACTTCGTTCCAAAAGGTGCAACTATGCCAAGAAGGCCAAAAGGGGGCAACCGGACCAAGAGCAGTGAGACCCCGTACTACGAGTAATCGTACTACGAGGCGATCTGGAGGTGAAGTCGTACTATCTGCGACAGGATTGTGAAGGCAGTAAGGTGTTTCCCATCAGGCGACCAACATGTCCATATTTGTGGAAGCAGCGATGCTGGCTTTCCCCGAGAGAGGACGGGTTTGAAAAGGTTGGCCCCAAAAACCGCACACTCCGATCGCCCAACGGTTGACCGTGATCGCCGGCGCGTTATCCAATGCGGTCGAAATACTTTTAAAAACAAAGAGCCCGGTGCTGCTGAAAAGGCACCTTCTGCGCGTAGCCGCATCAGAAATGCGACAGTACTAACTTATTCCCTGTGCCCTTGGGTTAGGCCAACCCTCTGCAGCCGAGCAGGTCAGACTGTTGAGTCATCGGCTCCGGGTATGGTCCCCAAAGAAAACCCTAATGTCCGCTGCCTTGTGAGTCAGACTTGAGTCAAAGGCTCAAGGCGGGGTATTTCAAACAAGCCCCCTTCCTCGGCCTGGGAAACCGGGAAGTATCATTTGCCAGTTCGGTGTCCACCGATGTCCCTTCCCAACCCCTTTCCACCACATAAACAAACGTCACTGGGCCATTTGACTGTGATTTATTTTGCCCAAGGGTCTTATGCTCCTCGCTGCCTACAAAGATTAAACAAAATAACACCCTTCTAAATCCACAAGATTCTTTCCATGTAGGAGCTTTTAACATCCGTACTCTGTGTCAAACTGGCAAACAGACAATGCTTGCTGAGACCTTATACTCCCTTAAAATTGATGTATGCTGTGTCTCCGATACACGCATTCAAGACCCGAGCGTGGTTATGCATCTCAAAACGCCAAAGATGAACTCAGCTCTTTCACATTTCTCCCTCCGTATGTCCGGTGACCCAGAAGCGATGACTCGTGGAATATATGGCGTGGGAATTGCACTCATCCCCAGAGCTGAACGTGCCTTGCTGGATTGGGTTCCAGTAAACAGTTGTCCTTGCGCCGTCCGGTTATCCAGTTCAATCAGGCTCAATGCTTGTCGGCATAAAAAGAGGTGCCTGTCTGTAGTGTCGGCTTATGCTCCGACGGACTGCAGTTCTGATGCTAAGAAGGATACTTTCTATCGAGAGCTATCCAGGCTCATTCGTCAAGCAAAAGCACGGACATTTTGATCCTTGCAGGCGATCTGAATGCTCAACTAGGTTTTCTGAGCTCCTTTGAATCACATTTGGGAAATCAATGCTCGCCGCACAGACAACGGAGTTCGACTCATTCAGTTGTGTGCTGATGTCGAACTGTTTCTGGCAAGTACGAACTTTCAACATAAACGTTCGCACCGCGTAACCTGGCGGCTGCCAACTACAAATCAACCGTGGACCCGGCACCGGTGGAGAGCCACAATTCAAGACTGCCGTTCCTTCTGGGGCAAACCACTTGATTCCGATCACACAGTGGTGCGTGCACGCCTGACAGTTCGCTTCCGTTCAGGCCCTCGCAAGTCGGCAAGAAGCATGTCGATCCACTATCTTCGAAGAACTGCCATAGCTCAACAGTATCTATCTGAGCTAGTCCAACAACTCACCACAGTAAAACAATACTGTGGTGGCAGTGAGCATGTTGATGAAGCGTGAAATGTGATAGAAGCTATGCTAGCGCCGTTCAATGCCGCTTCTGCAACACAGCCTGTAGAGATGTAATGTAAACTTTGATCGCCCTTCGGAAGGAGAAATAAGTTACGAAATACTCCTACTGAAACATGAGAAGGCACCAGCACCGGACGTTCTGTATTTAGCCCTCTTGACAGAAGGCGGAGTGCCATATGGAATGTAGAGAAGATGCCTGCGGAATGGGGCATGTCGACAGTCATCCCTATCTTCAAAAAGGGTATGCGGACGCTGTGTGGAAACCACCGTGGTATCAGTCTGTTAGCCGTGGCACCGAAGGTGCTCTCTGGACTGACTGAACACAAGTAAAGACAAATCCTTGAAAACCAAACTGGGTTCCGTCCTGCAAGAGGTTGCATCGATCATATTTCCACCCTCAGACAGATTTTGGAACAGCGACTCAGGGCACTCAGGGAATCGATTGGGACCTAAGTAAATATGATGGTGCAGTTAGATTGACGATTTTCTTAGAATTTTGAATTCTCGTTTCTGATACGTAGCACATATCAGTATTAAGCGAACAATTTGAGAGTAAAAGCGGCTTGATGTTTTCTTTGCTTCAAAGAGCGACATTAAAAGTTGCCAGATAGGCCGGATGTCGAGGCTAGAATATTAGTTTCGGTACGCCTGAGACTACCGCCGCCAGGTGACGGGCAGGTATTACGACCAAGACCGACACAAGATGAACGAAGTCGTCGATCCTAAGTGATTGGTTCGCACGAATGGTGTCATTAGTGGAATGAGGGGAGTGGAGGGGAAGGGAAAAGTGTGTGAAATAGAAAAACTGGGGACATTCGCAGGAGCCTGTTTTAGCTGACCCGTTGTGCTCTATGCAGAAAGTAGGACGAACCGGATGACGGAACCAATCGACGGCCGATTCGGCACAACAGCGTGTTTAGTTGTAGGAATCTTGGTTACTGGTGGTTGATCAGATAGCAGTTGATCTGTTCGCCGGGCTTGGCAATTGGCTTGCAAACGTTTCGTCTTCTCATTCGAGGGGACATCGTCAGTGCACAGTTGAATGGGTCCAATTCCATTGTGAAACCCATTCAACTACGCACTGACGATATCTCCTCGACTGGGGACGAAACGTTTGCAAGCCAGTTGCCAAGCTCGGCGAACAGATCAACTGCCATATGATGAACCTTTAGGAATCGTGGTTGTACGTGGACGAGGATACTACCAGGGTGCCCACATCTAGGCTGGTGGACCGGTGGTTCCTCAACCAAAGCGTTCAGATAGTTGGCCTGACCACTAGGTAGCAGTAAGTAGAGGTAAATTTTGGTGCGTTGTTTTTTTAAAGAACAACCCAACAAAAGTGCTCCACCCTACAACCTAGAGCACCAGGACTGCTGATGGGACCTCTAAACACTGACCATCCTGACCCGAGTGTCACACGGGCACCCGCCAACACACCTCAGTGTCACGGAGGCACACAAACTGTCGCACCACGATAAGATCCATCCCCGTTTCATTAATGGGTGCATCAGTCGAATTTGACTCTACCCCACCCCTAACAGAACAATCGCAAACTGTGAACGATTCTTTGCTGGTCCCACGAGCGTGCTATTTTCGGAGAAACCACTACTTTGTTTCGTCACTGACTACCCATAACCTATACGAGCAGTTAGAGAATAAGAGTATCCACCACATGTCTGTGACACTGGATCGTCATACCACTTTCTGTTGTCTCTAACCACGTTAATACTTTCTTTTTCTAACTACCGTCCATCATTCTAACTTGATCATTTACAGGGTGCCAAACAAGCCGAACTGGCCGGGACGATCCAGAACGATATTTTGAAGGAGTTTATGGTCCGAAACACATATATATTCCCGCCTGCTCCATCGATGCGAATAATCAGTGACATTTTCGCCTATACTGCAAAAGTGAGCTTGTTTACCTAGGATATTTTTATCGCTTAATCGACTTTTTAACACCGCATGTTTTACTTGCACTAGTAGACTAGTCCTCTCACCGGCGCAGTGGCGAAAGTCATCCTTATTGATAATGATTCCTCTCACCATCAACAACACTTGAGCGGATCATCGGTATATCTCTGATACAAAACCGGAGCAGTTTTTTTTCAAATGGCTGTTATGACTCAGCTAACCTACAGCAACAATTTGTGCTGCCTGTACTCTATGTTCAGTCTCATAACTTAGAAGGTGATGTATTGAAACTCACAAGTAGAGGAAAACCAAAAGCCTTGAGTATCTCTTCTCGGCGAGTTATTCTACTCTTGCGGTCTGGTTCATTGAGGACAAGGGGACGCTGACCCAAATCACTGACGCCAAACCAATCCACTTGCGTGTTTATAGGTGAGATAGGAGCCTCCGGATCACCATTAATTGCATGGCTGAGCCACAGCCATCTGGACCGTCATTATGTCTCATCCAGGAGACAGCAGTTGTCAGCGCTACCAAAATGACTGACTAGGGCTTTGATGCTTCGTTGCGAAACTATGGACTAACTGCGGGTTGTTTCCGCCCGACGCTGGCCGGGTTAAGGGGAAATTCGCTATTTTCTCAAAAGACCATTTAGCGTACCTCTAACCATATGCATGCAATGCTTCATGACAGGTGGCTATTTTCTCAAAAGACCATTTAGCGTACCTCTAACCATATGCATGCAATGCTTCAGTGACAGGTGGAGAATGTTCGAGCGTTCGCATGCATCGTTCCTATATCTGTTCCTTGGAGTAGGATAGGCCGTAGTGCATTCACTGAGAGACACACCGACATTGTTTCGGTTCCACAGATGCTGGTAGTTATCGGGCGCTGTTCCAGTTCAGTTGATTCAGGAAATGATTTCGTCTTTTTTATGAGGACTTTGTTGGTACGATGTCAGACGTCCAGGATTATCTTAAGCTTGCTGTGTATAGTGATATTTCTGACGAGAACACTTGGAAATGAGGTTTTTGGCCTCTTATTGGGGTCTAATCTTTTCATGAGTTCCTACTAAGCAACGTTTAAGAGCTTGAGACAGCTTAGTGATTAGGGCGCGAATTTACTGATCAGAAGATCCGTGGTTCTAACTCGACTTCTACATCTCGACAGCTTCTTTTCGGACCTGGACTCCCCGGTAGTATCTCAACCCTCGTGCATCCTTTGGATAAGGTGGCAGCTATGCACTGAAAGGTTGTCAAGGCTGAATAAATTATCTTTTACTACTAAGCAGTGCGGAACACCCTCGTCGATCCTTTTGAGGAACTGGTGTATTAGCAAAGACGAATACATGACAATTTGTTTTTAACGTAGAGAAGCGGGGGATCCTTTTGATCCATTTTGATCTAATTGGCAACACCTCGAGATCATTTTTCTTGCAGTCGCTCTTTTCAGCACCTGATTGTTTCGGCGTATACGTCAGTCGTTCCAACACGATGTTAGCCGTGAGTTTTTAAATAGAGTATTAGCTTTTTTAGCCATTGGTTACTACGAGGTCCTCACATCTGATGCCATCTGTATATCCTACTACTTCCTGCAAAAGTGCATCAAGAAGCCATTTTTCTGGCTGTGGTATTATTTGTAGGCGTTATTACGGAGACGCGATCTCCATGGTCAAGGTTTGTGGTTTCATCCTACCTGTCGGACATGTTTCGGATATACTGACCTATAGCTGCATCTAATTGAGCCGAAATCGTCCTTAGGGACTAGAACTGCTTCTTGGGTTTCACGCTTCACAATATGTTCACAATCCCGGCCGTTCCACAAGCTTAGGATCATCCACTTTGAAGTGAGAGCACCTGAAAATGCCAAAATCTCGCGCCACAAACGTTCTGTTAGCGTACTGTTTGCTCACATAAATGCGTAAACCTTCAAAAGTGCCATTTTTTTTGTTTCCCTTTTAAAGTTACCTCGGACATAGAGTGTATGCATGGAATTGTTAGCGTACTGTTTGCTCACATAAATGCGTAAACCTTCAAAAGTGCCACTTTTTTGTTTCCCTTTTAAAGTTACCTCGGACATAGTAGAGTGTATTGCATGGAATTCCAATGCATTTCTGACTGACGTACTGCTTCTGATTTTTTTGTTTCCTACTTCCTGGGAATGATGAGCGCGTACTACACCCCAAGTAACAGTACAGTGACTGAATATTAACCGTAATCATCTGTTGGCACCTGTATCACGGCTACGTGTGACCAACTCTGCAGCCGTTCAGGCCCTCGTGGATGACTTGTCGTTGTTGCCAACACTTGGCTCTTGACATTTGTCTTTTATTGTCAACTCATTTTTTTATATTGACTGCCATCTTCTTAATTGTATTTAAGACTTTTCGTGCATATATAACCGCTTGATTCTTGTTGTAGAACATGCCCAAATTTAACTCTATTTCTATCTCCGGCTACCACATGCAAGAAGCTGGAGCGAATGCGGTTCTTGAGATGGCCTATACCATTGCTGACGGGATCGACTACTGTCGCCTGGGAGTGGAACATGCTGGACTAAATATTGACGCGTTTGCCCCACGTTTATCCTTCTTTTGGGGGGTTGGCATGAACTTCTACATGGTAAGGATATGCAGCACTCTACGTTCTACAGCTTGCTACAATGTCCTATGACGATATTTACTTGGACAGGTTTAAATTCATGTCCCCCGAAACATTTCTCGACACAGTTCTGATAATGCAGTGTCCCTCAGTTCGATAACCTCTGTCATCACTAAGGAGTACATATGTAAACGCATATAAATGCAAGCTCGCTTGTCAGCCACAAAGCCCTGGCTCCCCGGCCAAACCCAACCCTAACTTAATGATTATTCGTGTCCACGTAATCTGGAAGAGCCCTTAGGATGAATTCGAATAATTTACCGGAAATATGATAGACTTTTATCACCGTAAGACATGGCTAACAGGAAGGGTATCTAGCATCCCTTGAAGCATTTGGCCTGTTGGATGCATTCGACTTTTGTCACATGTCATCGCTCGGTTGTTAGTGATTTTCAGGGAAAACTGATTCTCGTTCTATCAGTCCGCACTATGTTCCAGCTTCCTTACAGTCAACACTGTTTAATGACAGGGCAGCGTGAAACTTACCGAAAACTGTCCACAGTTTACACCTTATATTCTATGGTATTGGGCAGATTTCGGCCCGGTGAGGTTATCTTCCTCTGGTAGATTTGGGGTGGCTTCCCAAGTCTGTGTGAGTCCAAACGTACACCCCGAAAACGGCTCATTTCGTTTAGATCGCCTGACGTTAATCACGATGGCTCGTTAAACAAAGTAACTTAGACAATGTCATCTGAACAAATCGGGGTGTTTGGGGGCGCCACTTTGAAAAGTTCTGCTTTGGAAATTGCACTCTGAAGCGCGCCATGTTATTATTGCCAAAACCACAGACATCCCTCTTAGCAATCATGCCCGTAGTTTTGATTTTTTGTGGCAAGTAGACGTATGATATATTTTCCAACCTGAGCACCCCCGGCTTTTTTGTCTCAGAAGAACCTCGCTTCTAGTCCGACCAACCTTCTTGATACTTCTGAATCTGAGACTGGGGTTTCTGTCCGGAAACAGCCTTTTTGGGGCGCTCTATGTTTCCCTGTTGCCTGCACTGCATGCTGTAGGCAAGACCCGAGTAAAGTGCATATGAAGCCATAATTGTAAATATTCTATCCTGTCATAGCCATCTTTGCTTCGTTTATCTTAGAGTGGCAATCATACACTCATTATCTCTTTTCTCGCGAGCTGCGTTGTGTGAGCCCATTTAGCATGCACTGTATTATGTTATCAGTTCACCCTTACTAGTCCTACTGCAGCGAATTTCTTGATGTGAAAATTTGGCGTCCTTTGAAGTCCACTTTCAAGGTTCGTTTGGTATTTTTTGTGGCTCGATCGCATTATTCACCTACCAGAAGAACTTATCTTTCGCCTTTCGGCTACACAACCTTGCTGATTCCTCGCACATCTCTGTTTAAAGGAAATTGCCAAAATGCGTGCTGCTCGCCGGCTTTGGGCCAAGTTAATCAAAGAGAAATTTGCTGCCAAGTCGCAGAAGTCTCTGTTGCTGCGTGCTCACAGTCAAACCTCCGGATGGTCTCTCACGGAGCAGGTAATCCTTGTCTATAGATTTCTCCTTGGGATAGGCTGAATTGCTGGAAAACTTAGCACACTTTCAGAATCATCGCCTGTTATCACCTTAACGAATGAATATTATTGTAAGGGTTCAAGGGTACCAAACTATCGGCTGTGAAGTTGTCTCTTTTATTCGTGAAAGCGAATTTTCGGTGGTTCGAGTGTATACCCATGGCCAACTGAGCTAGGAAGAGCCCTACAGAGCTGCAGCTTTTAGCCACGTTTTCCAAACATGTCTTCATAGACTGTAGATCGTCTGGTGATGATACATTCTTTAAGAAAAATCGAAAGCTTAACCACAATGGCAGTTCGCCATCTTATTTCACCCATTTAGGACCCATACAATAACATCATTCGCACCACTATTGAGGCTATGGCCGCCGTGTTTGGGGGCACGCAGTCGTTACACACCAACTCCTTTGATGAGGCTCTTGGTTTACCCACCAAGTTCTCCGCTCGAATCGCTCGGAATACACAGATCATCTTGCAAGAAGAGACTGCGATCACCAAAGTCGCTGATCCATGGGCTGGATCGTTCATGATGGAGTCCCTTACTGATGAAATTGAAGAGGCCGCATTGAAAGAAATAACAGAAGTGAGCACCAAGATGTGAACATGAATAGACTAAAGCTTAAAATTTGATGTGTTAAGGTCACCATTAACCTCATCTTTTTTTCGAAACAGATCGAATCTATGGGTGGAATGGCCAAAGCAATTGAAGCTGGGATTCCGAAGCTACGAATCGAAGAATGTGCTGCCAAGCGGCAAGCTGCTATTGATAGCGGTCAAGGTGAGCTTCAGGTGTTCTCAGTGTGATTTTCTTTCGTTACCGAAATTCAAAAGATTAGAGCTACTCTAACATAAGATATGGTTCAACGTTTTGTTTTTTTTTCGTTGTGAAATTGGGTTTTTCTTGATGTGAATACTTTTTGACAAAACGAATACCATGATCTGCAGATTTTTAGTTCGCCATACTACTCATGAAATATGTGCCCGGCCTGCTTTCGCTTAGCGTATTTTCTGTTAAACTTCCAGCCAAACATGACTATCTGTGTTGTAAATACGATTCGAATTTTCCGAACAGATCTGCAAGGCGCTAGCTTAGTTTTTCATCTCATCCCTTCCAAAGACACCCTCTCGGTGTCCAGTTATCCTGAAGCAATATCTCTCTTATTTATGACCTGGGACTACACCCACCCCCGGGGCTGAACGCGTTTGGATCCTCTGCATTCCAATGGATAGACATTTCCCGACCTCTGTTGGAAGGAGTCAGTGTTCATTTGCTTTCCCAGCGTACCCTTCAACAAACTGGAGTCCGGAGATCACAAAGAAGCTTTCCTGTATAATCTGAGCTTGCGAAACTCATTAGTTTCGTCGTGATCTAAGAGTACTGTAGAAACACGGGTTGGTAGCTGATCCAGAGGTGACACTTGCCGTGTGAACAACTGGTATTTCCTGCTCTGTTTGTGCGCTTAGCATCGTTTGTTTCAGCTGGACATTAGGCTCGAGCCGATTGGTACAATCGCTTGTTTTCCCTTGAAACTCTATAGATCAGCAAAAGATATGGTCCTGTATCACTCCCAGTGAACTGCTTTGAGCGAACACTAATGGTCTGAGCTGACTACAAACTCCAGTACAAATTGGCGTTATTGCTACCAACGGCCTTTTTTCCTTCTTGCTGATATATTTTCAGCTTATTTGGTGTCACACTTTGCAACTGCTACGCCGATTGTGTGAAGTAGTTGAGCGTGTTTTTGACTAATGCGGTTCACTCTGACATTTTTGTGCCTGATAACACATTTGAATTCCCGGGTGCGTTGCAGAAATAGAATACAGTTATTCTCTTAGCCGTATCACCCTTCCGGTGCCTAGCTTTTATGCCACCCGAAGGAAGCACGAGGGCTGGGATACTGTCACGTTGCCCAAGCCTAGACAGAGGAAGTCGAGTGGTAGAGGTCGGGTTCGAACCACGGACCTTCCAGTCTGTAAGTCCGCGCTCTCACCACTTGAGCCATCTCGCTATTGCTTCCGCGGTGTTGAGGAAATTGAAGTGGCCATCATCATCGACAATAATACACTTGTAATACACACTGATTCTTAAGTTCCATGCAACCATGAAGGAACAAGACTAGTAAACACAAGACAAGTCATGGGACAACTACGCTCATTTCACAAGTGACTCATCTGAATCTCAGCTGAATCTATCGTTTATGATCTTCAACTGGTTATGCTGCACCAGGCCGCCTCATTTTTCAGTTGGTACATTATTCGAGATATCGCAATACATTCTCCGGGTGTAACACACTACTCATGGGGTTACTGAAACCCTTCCAAAAGTTCACGACAAGTTTCACCGTTCTCAGGGTTCAACACGTACATGCAGTTCCACCGTATATTCCACTTGAACCAGAATCGCACGAAATTTGACAGATATACTCGTTTGCATACCAATTCAGTTTTCACGGGAGACTCACCTGAATCCCAGCGGAATCCCTCGTTTATGTTCTTCAACTGAATTCTTTGAACCAGGCCGCCTCCTGTTTCACTTGGCACGATATTTAAAGTGTCGCTATGAACTGTTTAGACGTAACACACAAACTAGTGCGAAGAAATTCCGTGTCATCAAGTAAAACGTTCAAGAATAAGGTGCCGACTCCTTTGAGCAGCATTTAACTGAACTTATCAGGGCATCGTGTTGAATTTAGGCACCTTCAGCGGGATTGATCCAGTTTCTATTGTGAACCCCATCCGACGTGAACTTAGCACACAACGACAAGCAAAACTCGGATGGGTAGTCCGAGTAGAAAATGGCAGCATGCGCGCCACTGTGAGCGATTGTTCAAGGTTTCCCGCAAGATTTCTAGCCATGTGCAAGCAGATTACGTGGGCCCGGAACAAAGCCCAGAACAAAGCAGATGAGCAGCTGCAGACATGAACGGTAGCCTCTGGTATTTCACTTTCTTGGGTGCCTGGCTTATTGACTGGTATCCATATAGGATTACTTGGTAATTGGAGCAGAAAAGGAGTTAAGAGATAACAATCAAGAAAGATGGGTGTCAGACTTCACATTTTTCGCGCTTATCCGTCCTACTGTATGCGGCAATTAAAGTGACTCGGTTGATATCACTACGCTACGGTCGATGTGGCATGAAGGTATTTCTATCTGTACGGTTCATGGTTGTATGTGGGCTGGACCACCAACATCATACCAAAGCCTACGCAGGCGGACGATTGGGGTTCTCAACAAAAGCTTTTGGCTCAAAATCCCTATCGAAACGAAGCGTTTGTTGACATAAGACTGCTTGAGTGGTCCAACTTCCAAGGAACAAATTGCCGCACTTGTTCCACTCACCAACCTGGAGGGCCGCCCTATTTATTGACTAACCTGTTAGAAGAGGTCCTATGGATGCTGAATGCGCACCCCCCAGTATGGCTCAGGGGGGTACGCAAACCATCTCACCACGATTAAATCCGGTTGTTTACTTTACATTGCAGTTTCCGAAGCGCCTTCAGCGACTGCTTGGTCACCGAATTTTCGGCAGCCATCATGTGTCCTTCTATCTTTGTATTTTCAAATGTACGAAACCAGCCACCGTTGATTTTTATGGGTTCTGCACGCTGATAACGTGTTCTATCAATTTCCCTTTGTCATACCTGTCACTTAGTGTGAATGCCATAGGCATACCAAACAGCGATCATGGTTACAATGTCTCGACCATGTGGCCGACCTTAAATAGAAGGGTGCAGTTAGTTTGCCGGTCTAGAAAATGCAGCACGGCCGACCAGATTTGCCGTTGTGCTTTTAGTACACCACAATTTCAAAACCCACGCCTGGTGTGTCAATATATCCACAAGTAAAGTACATGTTCAAATAGTGCCTCTAACCCCGTCTTGAGACCTTACCCCATCTCCGCCTGCATATTAGTGTTTGGCAACCAGTGTGCATTTTCTGACGAAGAGCATACAACACAACTTTGTCATTTAAGTGGACAGGTTCAACAAGCGCGTCAGTAAGTATCTCCGAATAAAAAGGAATTCTATTTCCGCCTAGCTCCATTGGATCGAATCAACTCAGCCCCGATAGCCGGCAAGTTGCACCCGAAACTGGGTTATTTTATTTGCAACGCCCTGTGTCCTGCTTGAGGTGCCCTAACTGAATTTGGTGGGTTTGCGTTAAACCCTACTCTTGAGTGTGAAACCTGCCGCTGCAAGCCTGTTTCTTTCTGGTGAGTCACATTCACTCACATGACGCAAAAAATATTTTGCTGTATTTGTCGACTCCCGAACGGTGGACCTGTTTCCTCTCTTTCCTCTTTGTTAAACGGTCACTTTAAACATATATCTCAATCCGACTGCGTTGCTTAAGTGTGAAATAGCCCCAATGAAATTCCTCCATCAGATTACTCCTTAAACCGTTTTCTTGTCAATCTTTCCCACTCACTCTCTCCCGAAGCCTACGTTTCCTTTCCGTCGTATATCCTGGTGGCACTCTTCTGTACGCGTCAATTTCTTATTGCTGTCTTTCGGAGCATACCTTAGCTTTCGCTGATATACGACTGTCATTTCACGCGGCAACAGCCATATGAGCGCTGATTCCCCGGACCTGATGATGATGTGCCACCTGAAATGAATGACAGCGCGTTCAGTATCACCAATCTGTGAGAAGTAGTACTGAATATCTCAAAGCAATAGCGAAAACTAACATAGCACCGGGCGCAAGCCCGTACCCGATGAGCTACCGGATACAGCCTTCTTTGGTCGACTTGTTGAGAAAGCATTGACACTGGAAACCAGCTGTTTTTTATTATCATTTATTTTTGAAGAGCATGGTCGCAAACATAAAAAGTGATTGCAAGCGATGAATGCGAAAGGGTAACAGGAGAATATGGGAGAAAAGAGAGAAACGTCTCATTCGAGATCATGCCAAGGGCAGTGCCAGTCTGTTGAGGTGAATCCCAAAGTATGTAAAGATTTTGGTATGGGAACACGCGTCTAAGGACCAACAACCAAAGAAAGGACAAACAATGGTGAATGCTCTTCAAGGCGCAGTGTGCGCTAGCACAGTCAAGACTCGCACA